CCACGTGATGTCGAGGCCGAGGGGGGGGGGCACATCGCAGAAAGCCGGCCAGCACACGGACTGGGGGACACTATGGGAACGGCTGGGGGTGAGGAGGCGGGCGGCGAGGAGGAAGGGGGGATGGGATGAGGGATGGATAGATGGGGGAGAGAGGGGAGGGAGAAAAGGAGAAGGAGGATGACAAGGGAAAACAAGATACACGGTTTCCACAGCCGTCATCGCACGCGTCATCGCCGATGACGCTTGCGATGACGGCAGCCGCGAAGCTCGCCAGCCGGTAAATGTGTTTGTTGACGGGACGCTTCTACATTAGGACCGCCTCCACTCAGGTGGTGTTATGAGCCTAAAGGCTGCCGAATGTGGACTATTGCTTCCATTTGCAATGCACATTGTCCAGAAGTTCGGGGGTGTTCAGGTTCATGGCCCTTGCCTGTATCAAGCTGGTGAGTCACTGGTTCAACTAATGGCCGTCATAAGGGGGAATCGGGTCGTCATGCCCGATGCGGAGCGCGACCAATTGATCTGGCACTTTGACATGCATATGAGGTGTTGCACGGCCTGCTCCATTACCCTGACGCCAAAACATCATTTGACAGTTCATATGATCTGCAGGTGGGCGCTCGTTTCGGGTGGAATCTTTCCTGCCCTGGAGGATGAACGGAGGAGGCTGAGCAAGGGAGAGGAGGTGGAGGGTGAGAGAGAGGAAACGGCAATGGGAGAGGACGTGGAGGAGAGATGCTAACTACAGAAAGAGGGGCGGGGGTAGGTGCAGAGGGGGGGAGGAAGCAAGGAAGAACATGAGGAAGGTTAGACCAAGGGTGGGAGGGGGGAGGGGTCGAGGAGGCTGGCACCAAGAGGGGAAGCACGACATGGGGTCGGCAAGGACTCGGTGGAGGAAAATAAATGAGAGGATGAACATGCGGACGATAATAATAGCAGTGATGCTGACGATGGACATGATGAGGAGGGGGAGGAGAAAGAGTAGCTGATGGCAAAAGCTGCACCCAGGGTAGACATGCACGGGCCCCCCCGTGCGTACAACTGCTTTGTAGATGAAGGGCTCAACGCTGTGCTTCGGAGCTTGGCCATATTCGCCCATCGAAACAAGTTCGAGTATCGGGTTTTCTCTATGTGGGATATTCAGGGTGCGTTGAACGTGACTCTTCATGTGGCTCCAGGGCTCATAGACAGCGTTTCACTTTTGTCTGGCATTCATTTGCGGTGACAGCAGGCCCGCATCTCAGCTCCCGCTGCTCATGGGAGGCGGCGTGCCATCCAACACCGCGGCCTTGAACTGGGCCCGCACGGCGGCGAGGCGCATCGCAGGTGCCGGTTCCAACGTGGCCTTTTCGGTGCTTCTGTCGACGTGCATTGCAGAGTTTCTACCGATCCTTGGTCAGATCCCTCGGACCACCACCTTCCTCGAGGTATTCTCTGGGGCTGGGAGGACGGCGAGGAACATCATCGGGGCAGGCTTCGCCGCGCACACCTTCGAGATGTTGGACTCTGAATTCGAGAACGGCTGCGATGCGGTTCACGGCATCAAATCGTTGCCTGCCCTCACACCCTCTCCTACGTTCTTGTGTGTGTGTGTTGTCACCCGCCCCAGGTTGGCATCCTTTACCTACTGTATCTTATGGCGACTGTTGTGGAGACAGGTCATGTACATTTCTCGCCACCGTGCTCAACATTTCTGTGGATTTCACGCGGCCACACCAGACGTTCGTTTCGGAATGTTTTTGGCACAAGGCGCCGTCCTGACGTCCAGTGCGCAAACTTACTGGGTGAGCTGACGTCGCCCGCTCGGGGAAGGGGAAAACCTCACGCAACCCTACGGAGGAGGAAGGACGGGGTAGGGGGGAGGAAGCCAGGACACGACGGCGGGAAGAAGGACGGGCGGCACAGAGGCAAGAATGCAAGGAAGATGGTGACGATATATGGTTGGACATAGTGAACAATAGATGGGGGAGGGAACGAGGGGGGAGGAGGAGGAGGAGGAGGAGGAGGAGGAGGAGGAACCCAGGTCATATCTGATGGTGCTCGCGTCCATTCGCGGCGTCCGCATCACGTGCGAGCAACCTCTGAACTCTCTCTTCTACGAGCTCCCCAGCGTGAAGGCAGCCATCTACATGTGCGCCCTCTCGCGGCACGTTTCGTGGATGGGCGGATGGGGTGGCCTGACGCTTAAGCCAGACGAGTTTTATACGAATTTAAATTTTAAGGCAGTCGCCCGCATCTCAAAATCCCATAGGGAAGCGAGAGTGCGAATCGGGCCACCCTCGAACAAAAAAGGCTTGACAGCACGCACGCGGAAGGCGAGCGGTCAGAGTTCCTGGGTGGTCGGTCGCAAGCCTGCCATGAAACGCTCTGCTCGTTACCCGCCAGAGTTCACACTGGCGCTGTCTGACGTGGTTCGCAGCGGCCTGTCGCGGCGGGCGGCGGAGATTTCAGCCCGCACTGTTTAACGAAGTGCCGGTTCGAATTCGTGTTTCACGCTCGTGATCGAGAGATGCTCGATGCTGCGCATCGCCCGTGGTTGGATTCGCTTCGACATTCAAGGTATACCAACGCGTGCGATTATGCACGGCCGAACCATGCCCCAATTGATTGCCGTGGCGATGTGTTGCACGAGCACCTCGAATGAGAGAGGCGCGGGCCTCTAATGCACTGCGAGGGCTCTATGTGTGTGTCAAACACGCTGGCCAGCGTTTTCGTGAAAACGGATTGCTCTGCCAGCAACGCGTTGAGGAGCTGCCAGGACAGAGCTGCAGGGAACGAATCGGATGAGTGGAATATCAAACGCATGAGGTCTGTGTGTGTGTGTGGGGGGGCTCCTGGTCATGACAGCTGCTGGCGCAATCGATGGGCTCGATGCATGATGATGCATGCGCACGTGGTGTTCACAGGGCAACTGCAATCGAATACAACACTCCTTATCATAAACTCTGCCCCCCAAGGCCCACTCGGCCTCTGGATGGCCTCATCTGGTCACTGCGGTAGTTAAGCACATATTTATCTGGATGGCAGGAGAAGGAGGAGGGGGAGGAGGAGGAGGACGAGGCAGGGTGCGGGGGTAGGAGGCTGGAGGGCAAGAGACAGACAAGGAAGATGCGGAAGAGGAGGAGACAAGGGTCAAGCCTGGTGACGTTGGGGCGGTTCGATCACTAAGATCGGACATCGCTTGGGTCGGACATCGCTTCAATAAGATACCAGCTCTCCAGGTTCCACGCTGGAGCCAATAATATCTAGTGGAACACGATCAAAAGCACGATAACACTCGTAAGAGCTCATTTTGGCTCAAACTTGCTAACTTTCGACGCCGTACCCGACGCCGTACCCGACGCCGTACCCGACACTTTCAGCCGACATCGTGCCCGTGCCGTGCCCGACGCCATGGCGACCGAGTACATTGCGGTATCAGGGAGGACGACGGCCATGCTCAAGCTCAGTGTCTACTTCGAGGAGCTGGCGTCCACTGGGCCTGCGTTTGCGGAGGTTGGGTCAAACCCGTCGTGGTCGAGCGGCGTCGAGGTGAAGAAGATCAAGGAGAGCATCAAGCAGAACTATTCTATGTACTCGGACTGGGATGCGGAGGTCTTCATCTACGAGGCTTCTACAACCCACCCGACTGTGGCAAAGCACCCGCTGTGGGATGAGTACGTCGTCAATCCCGCCAGTTATCGCACGATGCACATCGTCGCCGCGAAGACGCAGCAGCTGAACGTTAAGGAGGAGGAGACGTTCACGGCTGGCGTGAGCGACGAGCCCGACTGGATTTTCACGGTGAAGATTCAGGACACTGGCAGTTGGGAGTTCATCAAGGTTCCCAATCCTAACATAGCTGCTGGTCGTGAGGATGTGCCGTGCATCGTCCTGAAGACGTGGATCGCGACTCAGCTGGCGCTGCCGAATGGGATGAACATCCTTCACAAGCTGCGCATCTTCCGCAACCACAGCGGGTTGGCATCTCATGAGAAGCTGAAGGATGGCGACATCGTGTGGAAGAATCTTTGGTACCTCTGCATCATCGACCACGAGATGGAGCCCCTCAGGGAGTACCCGGACCACGTCTCGCCCGACTCGGTGAGCGGTGGTGGCTGGAACGACGTGGTGGACGACGCTGCAGCCGAGGTTCAGGAGATGGCCGAGACGGAGGAGATCCACGGCCTTGACGGGCCGCAGTAAGTGTTCGGCGTTCTTGCCACAGAGCCTACTTTTTTCCCCCGCTGAACTCTTGTGAGTTCTTTGCACCTCCAGTGGCGCGCTGCTGCTCCATGGAGGTGCCTTTGCCCGAGGGGGGGCACTCGCATCGCATATTCAATACTAAAGGAGATGGGGAAGGAGGAAGAGGAGGGAGATGAGGAAGAAAGGGATGGGGGAGGGGAGGGATTGGGGAGGACGGGGGAAGTCACGGTCGGCGCTTGCAGCACGCTGGAGAGCAGAACGCGTGCGGTCGGCGCTTGCAGCACGCTGGAGAAACCGCCTGCTCCTCCTCCTCCTCCTCCTCATCCTCCTCCTCCCCCTTCTTTCAGCGGGTTGTCGTGGCGCCCATTATCTGAGGCGTCATCGCACCCGTCATCGGCGATGACGTGGGCGATGACGGGCGGCCCCGCCCCGACTGGCATCCACCCCCGCCCGCGTGGGGCGCGGGCTGATGCAAGTCGGAGCGGAGTCGCCCGTCGTCGCCCACGCCGGTTCGCAGATCACGTGTGCGATGACGTCAAGTGTAGCGCGTGTCTCAAGTGCGATGCAATCCACGAGTGACTAGCAGCGTGTAAAGCAAACGCATAGATTGCACCACGTAGATTGTACCGCAGAGTATATTATATAGTATACAAATGACGCTGTTTGGGGTCCAAGCTGGCTGCAACACAAAACGCAAGAACCCAAATATTCAACAACCTGTCCAGACGGCAATTCTGGCTCAAGGATTGGCTGATTTACCCGACGCCCTACATCGACGCCCTACGTCGACGCCATACCCGACGCCATACCCGACGATGGCGCCCACGGACCTGGTGGCTGAGCACCGCAGCCGGTCGCCGCGCAGGCAGGCGGCCAACGCGGAGCAGCAGGCGGCCCAGGCGGAGCAGATCACGCTGCCAAGTGCAGCGCTGAGGGCGGCGCTGGACGTGTGCAAGCTGGCCGACGTGAAGATGACCGAGGCGACGGACGCGCTCGAGAAGGCCCTGCAGTGCAACGGCAAGTGGAGCGACTCGCTCGTGCAGGCTCTCAACACGAACCAGCAGCTGGGGAAGGCCCTGGAGGCCCTGACGACGGCCCTGGAGGAGAACGCGAAGCTGAAAGAGACAGTGCAGGAGCTGACGGGCCGAGTCGAGGCGCTCGAGGGGAAAAAGAAGTTCGACCTGCTCGAGGCCAACAGCTCGAAGGACGACGACAAGGACGGCAAGGGCGGCGGCACGCCGAAGGACGACGGTTCCAAGACGGGCGACGACTCCAAGGGCGATGGCGCGCCGAAGGACGACGGCTCCAAGACGGGCGGGGGCGACACAGCCGGTACAGGCGACCTGTACGGCTTGGGCAGCGACGAGGGCCCGAGGCAGCACTCGTCCTTGAAGCAGGACGGCAACACCTACGAGGGCAAGGACAACGGCACCTACGCGGGCAAGGACGGCAGCACCTACGAGTGCAAGGACAACGGCACCTACGGCACCAACGAGGGCAAGGACGAGAGCCCCCACGCGGACAGCACGGGCGACGGCAGCGAGCAGCAGGACGACGTCGACCCCGACAGGTACCTCATCAGCAGCATCAAGAACGGGCACGAGTTCTTCGAGCGCGAGGCGAGGGAGGCCGAGGAGTGGCGCAAGCGGACTTTCGCAACGTGCGCGAAGTGCGGACTCTACCAGGTGGTGGCCACTTTTGCCTGCGTAGGGTGCTGCTGGCCAGTCTTCGTGATCTAGGCGACGCCATCAAAGGCTGAGCGCCTACACCAGCACCAGCGCCGACGCGCGGCTGGCGCCAGCACCGACGCCAGAAAAACTTTTTAGGACGAGGAGGAGGGAGAGGGGGGCTCCTAGGAGGGGGGAGGGAGGGAACCTCGAGAGACCCCGCTAGGGCCATCAACGGGCCGTATTGGAACCGTATTGGGGCCATCTTGGAACCTTGTTGGAAACGTCTTGGAACCGTATATTGGCGCCGTTTTGGAAGACCGTCTTAAAACCGTCTTGGAACCATATTGGAACCGTCTTGGACCCGACTTGGAGCCCCGTCTCCCTTCCTCACTCCTCCCTCTACGTGTGTATATAAATATGTACTTAATTTACTCGCATGCGAGTTTTAACAACATGGCGACCGTGACAATTCACGAACCATGTCCCTCGCCTGGGCGGTGAGAGTTAATATCATAGCCCAGTGAGAGTTAGGATCATCGTGTCCGCCTGAGCAGCGGAAAAAAAACACATGAAAAACGCATCGCATCGCATAGCACAGCGTTGTTCGAGCAATGCCACCGCCTGCATTGTAAAAACATTAACAATCACGCACGCATAGCACCGCACGTATAGCACCACACATAAAAACAACAACAAACAAACAACAACAGCAACAAAATCAGCAGCAGCAACACCAACAACATTACCACCACCACCAACAACAACAACAAACACACCAACAACAAAAACACCATCAACTGCATTGCTGTCACGATCTACACAACATACAGGGTCTAAAAAAAATAGCCCCTGAGCATCATTTACATGATGGGTCTAAAAAACAGACCCTGTGGACCTCAGGGCTGCGCTGGGAGCACTGCCGGGGAAGCGACTAACGGTCACATTGTCTGGAAATGAGCGGAACTGACGGTAACCCTTACTGGAACGTCTGCTTGATTCCAGAGTTTACCGGGCGATCGATCAAAGCCCCCGCCGCACGGGTGCCCGTCTGCCGGTCTCCAGGGGGGAGGGGCGACGAGCTGCCTGCAGCAGACGACCGCGCGTTCAGTCTCGAGCGCCCCCTGAAGACCGCTGCAGCAGACGGCCGCATTTCCGATACACGCTCCTGCGGCTCTAACCTGCGAGGCACGTCTCTGAGCGCTGGCGCGCCACCTGCAGCGCGCCCACCTGCCGCCGCGGCACTGCCTCCAGGAAGGGGCGAACTCTCGAGCGCCCGTCTGGCCGCCGCCGCACTGCTGCCCCAAGGGCGCTGGCAGGAGTGAGGGGCCGCATGGACGTCCGCTCGCCGGCCTCCAGGAGGGGGGGGGGGGGGGGGGCGACGAGCTGAGGCAGACGACGGCGTGCTCGCTCTCGAGCTCTTCCTGAAGACTGTTGCAGCTAATGGCCGCACATGCCAATGCACACTTCTGAGACTCTACATTGCGAGGAAAACCTCCGAGCGCGGGCGCGCCCTCAGCATCGTTCCCAACTGTCGCCGGGGTATTGTGTCCAGGAGGGGGCGGGCTGTCGAGCGCCTCTCCAGCCTCCACCGCACTGCTGCTGTTCACTCTCGGGCACTCCCTGGAGACTGTTGCAGCTGACGGCCGCGCTTCCCGATGCGCACCCCTGAAGCTCGTTATTGCGGGGGCGTCTCCAAACGCGGGCGCGCCCTCTGCAGCGGTCCAAACTGTCGCCAGGGCATTGTTTCAAGAAGGGGCTGCGCTGCCGAGCGCCTTTCCGGCCACCGCCGCACTGCTGCCCCAGGGGCGCTGATAGGAGTGACGGGCCGAATGGGCGTCCACCTGCCGGCCTCCGGGAGGGCGGGGGGGCGAGCTGCGGCGGGCGACCGCGCGTTCGCCCCCGAGCTCTCCCTGAGGATTGTTGCAGCTAACGGCCGCACGGCAGACGACCGCGCGCACGCCCTCGAGCTTCCCCTGAAGGCAATGCAGCTAGCGGCCGCGCTTCCCTGAACATACCCCTGAGTTTCTATTGGGCGCGGGGCGTCTCCGAGCGCGGGCGCGCCCTCTGCAGCGCCCCCAATCGTCGCCAGGGTATTGTCTCCAGGAGGGGGCGCGCTGTCGAGCGCCTCTCCAGCCTCCACCGCACTGCTGCCCCAGGGGCGCTGATAGGAGTGAGGGGCCGCACGAGTACCCAGGAGGGGGAGGGGGGCGACGAGCTGCGGCAGACGACCACGTGTTCCTCTCCCTGAAGACTGCTGCAGCCGACGGCCGCGCATCGTCTCCAAGCGCGGGAGCGCCCTCTGCAGCGCGCCCGACTGTCGCCGGGGCCCTGTGTCCAGGAGGGGTGGCGCTGTCGAGCGCTTTTCTGGCCTCCACCGCGCTGCCGCCCCAGGGGCGCTGATTGGAGTAAGGGGCCGAAGGGGTGTCCGCATGTTCTGTCGCGCTGCCAGAACTGTCCGCTGACTGTTGCAGCTGAAGGCTGCACTTTCGGAAACTAGGTCCTGATTGTCACAATTGTGAGAGGCGTCTCCGAGTGCGGGCGCGCCCTCTGCAGCGCCCGGGCACCCCCAACCATCGCCGCGATGCTGTCTCTGGGAGGGGGCGCGCTTTCGAGCGCATTCCGGCCTCCTCTGCGAACCTGCCCCAGGGGCGCCGATAGGGGCGAGGGTCACGCGGCAGACGACCACCAGATCAGTCATCGAGCACTCCCAGAGGACTTTGCAGCTGAAGGCCGCACTATCGGATGCAAATTCCTGAGTGTCTGAATTGGGAGGAACGTCTCCGAGCGCGGGCGCGCCCTCTGCAGCGCTCGCCGCGATGCTGCCTCCAGGAGGGAGTTCGCGGTTTCTGGGTTCCTCCGCGAACCTGCCCCAGGGGCGCTGATGGAGTGGCTGGTGGGGGTACTTTTCGTCGCCCAGAGGACACTTGCAGCTGAAGGCTGCACTGTCGGATGCAAATTCCTGAGTGTCTGAATTGGGAGGAACGTCTCCGAGCGCGGGCGCGCCCTCTGCAGCGCTCGCCGCGACACTGCCTCCAGGAGGGAGTGCGCTTCCGACGGAGTTTCTGGGTTCCTCCGCGAACCTGCCCCAGGGGCGCTGATGGAGTGGCTGGTGGGGGTACTTTTCGTCGCCCAGAGGACACTTGCAGCTGAAGGCTGCACTTTCGGAGGAAAAAAAAGGCCCCATAGTCACGATTGTGAGGCGCGTCGCCGACCGTGGGCGCGCCCTCTGCAGCGCCCCGGGCGCCCCCAACCATCGCCGCGAAACTGTCTCCAGGAGGGGGCGCGCTCGCGAGCGTATTTTAGGCCTCCTCCGCGAACCTGCCCCAGGAGCGCAGATAGGGGTGAGGGGCGCTGCGGGGGCCCGCCAGCCGGCCTCCGGGAGGGGGAGGGACCGACGCACAGTGGCAAATGACCGCCCGATCGGTCTCAACCTCTCCCAGAGGACTTAGCTGAAGGCCGCACTTTCGGATATAAATTCCTGAGTGTCTGAATTGGGAGGAACGTCTCCGCGCGCGGGCGCGCCCTCTGCAGTGCCCCTAGTTATCGCCGCGATACTGTTATCGCCGTGGGATACTTTCAGGCGAGCGCGCGCGGCATGCGCATGCGCCGCGCGCGCGCGCAGCGCGCGGCGCCCGCGGCGCGCGCGGCGCGCGGCGCGCGGCGCCCGCAGCGCCCGCGACGCACGCGGCGCCCGCAGCGCCCGCGGCGTCCACGGCGCCCGCGGCGCTCGCGGCGCGGGCGGCGCCGGCGGCGCCCGCGGCGCCCGTGGCGCACGCGGCGCCCGCGGCGCCCGCGGCGCCCGCGGCGCAGGCGGCGCCAGCAGCGCCCAGCGCCCCGCGGCGCCGGCAGCGCCAGTGGCGCCCGCGGCGCACGCTGCGCCCTGGGCGCCGCGGCACCCGCGGCGCGCCCGCGGCGCCCGCAGCGCCCGCGTCGCCGCGGCGCGGCGGCGAAGGCGGCGCAGGCGGTGCCAGCCGCGCACGCGGCGCCCGCGGCGCCAGCGAAGCCCGCGGCACCCGCAGCGCCCGCGGCACCCACGGCGCATGCGGCGCCCGAGGCGCGCGCGACGCGCGCGGCGCCCGAGGCACCCGCGGCGCCCGCGGCGCCCACGGCGCCCGTGGCGCCAGCAGCATCTGCGGCGCCGGCGGCGGAGGCGGCCGCTCACGCCGCAGCCGCCGCCGCCGCGACACGGGCCTCCATCCCGCGGGCCGGGGCGCGTGGCGGGGGCGCGCGCGCGAACCGCCCTGGCCGCGCCAGCCGCCTGGAAGGCGCAGGGGGGCGGCGGCCTAAAAGCGCCAGGGCAACCAGCGAGCAGCGGGCGGCGGAGGGGGGCAGAAAGGGGCGTGGCGGCGGGCGACTAGGGTCAAACAAGGGCGGGCGCGCCGGCAGTGTTAGAGCTGACGACCTCCCACTGCTTCTTGCCCTTCCTGGGAGCGCGGCTGCCAGCGTGGCCCTTCGCCGCCAGGCGTCCCTTGCCCGCGCCGTCGCTGCGACTCAGGTATCGCTGCCGCAGCTGAACCCAGCCAACGCCGAGGTCCAGCGCGTCGTTCATGGCCCGCGCATCTTAGTTGTGGCTGCGGAAGGAGCACAGGAAGTTGACGCAAATTTGCTGATCGTGCCGTAGCGGGTCGAGCGCGCCTTTGGCATGCTGCTCGGCGAACGCGTGCCGGGCGCTTGTGAACATCGCACCCAGGGAGACTTGAAGCCGCTTTTTCGTCTTGCCAGGGGTCTCCCTGGGGGGGCCCCACTGGATGCCGCTGATCTTGGTTTTATGCAACTGCTGTCCCGCGCCGGGGTCTAAGGGTTCCGGCCATTGGCGCGCGTCGGGCCTCGCTTCCCAAGGCGGGGTGGTCAGCGGCTGGTCCTTGGCGCGGCGGCTGCTGCTGCTGCTTCTTCTGCTGCTGCTGCTGCGTCCGCCGCGCGTCGTCTGCCGTCCGTCAGACCCGCCGGCGCGGTCAGTGTCGCCAGGGGCCAGGTCTCGACCCAGGGGCGGCGGGGAGATTGGAAAGTAGCCAGTCGCAGAGGCCAGGCAGGGCGTCCAACCGCTGCCAGGCAGACGCGCTGGAAGAACGTTTCGGCCGCGCAGCCGTCGTTCCTCGGCGCTCGAGCTCGTGCCATTGCCAGGGAGGGAGGGGCCAGGGTGAGGAGTGCCAGCCAGG